GATCTAAACGGATAAACTAGACTGTATAGTCTCATAAACATTGTAGATTTATGTCTTAGCATTTCAGAACATCTTGAATCACCCCCATATCTATTTTGTACAGAAAGATATGCTAAAATTACTAACAACAGTACATGAAGTAATTCCAAAATTGAAAATCTGGGCAGCACCTGCCCTGTACCTTCTGATCCCTTTTTGAGTAAATACCAGCAAAACTAGATTTTGGTTCCTTCATAAGAGTTATAGATCTATGAAATAACGTTCTAGAAAATTTTGGATCACTTAAATTGGAGCTCTGTACAAAAAGATATGTAGAAAACACTAATATCTGTCTAGTGCAAAAACGAGTTTAGAAACTTACCACAAAAGAGAGGAGCAACTTGATCTTCACCAAAAAAATGAATTTTGCTGATTGATTTAGTAGAAATTTATGGTGGTTTCATGAAGTTTTCAGAGGCTAATATGGAGAGAGGGTATGTGGTTTTGTTTCTTTGTCTTGCAAGAATAAAACAAGATAGAAGGATATGGAAAGGCAAGTCTTCCAAAGTTATATCTAAACTTTGGATAAGTATGAAAAATGTGACTGCCCAAATTACTAATATCTTTAGATAAATACAAAAGGCTGACAGCCCAAAAACTTAATTATATAGTGTATTTAATAACAATTCATCAAAATAATATTAAGTGTTACACATAGCAACACCATGAAGCTTCTTTGTCAATATTAACACAACCTAAAGTAAGAAATTTTAATATATTGTCAATTTCACGTTTAGGAAGTGCAAAGTAAAATATCTCCTTGTTATAAAAATGCTCAATCAAGAATGCAAATATTATTAAAATTTTGAGGTGTTACAGTTTTAGCACGGTCGCTTTAATCATACATGGCTTAATTGTTTAATTACGTATTTTAGAACCTACGTGTGTTTTACCTTTTACTGCTTTTAAATCACTTAATTTTGGCGATATGGAATTATCTTGAACGAACCACATGTGTGTGGACACGTTTTGTTTGGTGTGTCAAAATCTTATCACACATACGTGTACACAATTGATAAAACTTTGTTATTATTAAGATTGTTTTGCCCAAAGTTGCGTGAATGCATACTTCGGTTTTAATTTTGGGAATCACAATTATGTCACGCGAACGTATACATAATCACGATAGAATAATTAAAAGCTTGCCTAAAGCACTATAACGATGTTCATGAGTATTCGAGTATTAATCAATGTAAAAGGAATAGATCAACTTGTTCTAAATCTTTACGACCCAACGACTAAGTGCAAACCCTCCTGGACCAACTTATATCTTAGCTAATGACCCGCTTCAATTTGCATAGTGGCCGATTACTTATTAAAATAACCTCTATTTTTCAAATTAAAATTATATAATAATGTGATCTTTATCTCTTCACATCTCAATAAAGTATAATATATGCAAACAACAAAATAATTGAAGCTGTCAACATTTACCCCATTTAAGAACAAATAAAGCAGATACTTGAGACTTAAAATTCAAAGATGCCAAAATTTCAAAGTTCTCTGTCTTTCACTTCTTACTAACTTGTATTCCAATTATCACGTTAGCCATCTAGATAATGATATCAAATGAATAATTAATCACACTAAAATGAAGTCAATATGCTATGATACTTCAAGGAATGTTCAAAGCCAACAAACACAGAATACTCAAAACAAAAAATACAAAAGACTCATTCATGGTTTATATGATAAAATAGTGATGAAACTAAAAGATGAACCTTAAGAAGGATCAGACTTTGAGAGTTTACAGCTGGGAAAGTCCAAAAGCAAATAAGAACTCCAAATCAGACCTCGACGAACTAGAAACTTCGTCGGACAAAACTCGGACCTCGACTAACCCGACTCGAACTCGGCTCATTTGTAGTGATTGATGTAGGAATGAATTGCTAGTTTTGTGTGAAGGACGATAACCTTTGTGATGGTTTTCGGACTATTTTGGGAGTTAACTCGAGCTATTTTTGCAGCTATTTTTTGGGTGAGGTTTTGGGGTATTTCAGATCTGGTTTTCAGCTATGTTGCTGCATTTTTCTGCTGAGTTTTGAGCTGTTTCATAGGTGTTATTCAAAGGTGTTTCAGGTTGTATTTTGGTGGGTTTAAAGGTGCATTTTGGGTCAGTTTGGGAATGAAAATAGTGATTATTTTTGGATGGTTTAGCAGCTGGTCTTCGGACTGAAATAGTAGAGTTTTAATGGAGAAAAGGGTCTGCTTTCATGGCTGTTTGGGCGGCTATTTTGCTGGAAAAATAAGGCTCTTTTTTGGCAGAAAAAGAGGGGCTTGTTTGAGGTGATTTGAGGTGGTGTTTGGCGTGAGTGTAATGGAGGTTTAGAGGAAGAAAAAAGTGTGGCGAGGAAGAAGAAGGGAACAGTGCCTTTTGGTTTAACTCTAATTTTCCTATTTTCCTTTCTTCTTCGAGAAACAACTCCAGCCCTTTTTTGTTCTCTTTTTTTTCGTTTCTCACGGGTTTTTCCCTCCCCGTTTTTTGTTCAGAGAAAAAAAAACCTCTTTCTTCTGATTTTCGTGTGTGTACATATACATAAATGGAAGTGGCTATGTATGTGTGTGCCTTTTTGTGCGTGTGTTTGCCTTGGAATATTTTGTGAGTGGGCCCTATGCAAAAAGTGGAGAGCAAGAATATTTGAGTAATTCCAAAAGATGAGTTGTAATGTAAATTTGTGAAAAATCAGAAAAGAATCCAAGTGAATCCCAAAGAATGCATGAGCCAAAATGCTTTGTATAATGCAAGAGTGGATTTTTGAGTTCTTATTCCCTGAAGGTCACGTGAGGTTGTTACGAGGGATGATGAAGAATCTTTGCAACTTGGCCATTTCTAATTAGATCTTGTTTTTTGTTTTATTTTCAAATTCTTTTCTTTTTTTAAGATAAATAAAGAAAAATACAAGGATGAAATATTAGCTAAAGTATCTCTTAAAAAATAATATATTTTTTTTTTGAGTTTTTCTTTCTTTTGCAAATGAACAAAAATTAATATTCTAAAAATGTGAATCTTTTTGTTGGTTTCCAACTTTCTAACATAAAATCTATAAAAGGTGAGGCAAAAGATAAAATATCAAGATTAAACTTAAAAACTATTTAAATACTATAAGTGATAAAAATTCAAATATAGTAAAAAATTATGTGCTCACAGCTGCCCCTCTTTGCTTGGAAACATGAAGAGCTTTCAGGTAAAGACAAAGTGAGCCATGTGACTAATTTTCCCCCCAATATTTATTCAAAAGGGAAAATAAATAAAGGAAAGGGTGTGACCGAGTCCTGATTTTGGACAACCTACATATCCCGGGTCATAAGAGAATCAAGTCACGTGTAGTTCAACGAGAATAATGGAATGATGAGTTTGAGGGTCGAGTGAGGTTCCCTCGAGGCCCCAGTCCGTAGTCATGTTATTACATCAAAATCAAAATCTAAAGGAACTAAACAAGTCTATCAGCTATGAGTTATAAGATTCCTATCTATAAGTCTTATGAAGCTCGATCTTGAGTCTTGAATGGTTCTTCATGCAGACTTTTGATTGGAACCTTGATGCTTGCTAGCTGCAAGCGCTAGTTCGTTCTTCTTCGGCTTTTTCAGATTAAGACGGGACATGCAAAGCTTGTGACTTCAGTCATGTCTTGAACAGTTCACATCTTTCATTTGCTTCTGCATTTTGGATTAATTTTTTTCTCTTTTTTTTTGAAATTGAGACTTCTTCTTTTGGTCATCTCGAACCCTGTGCCTCGAGGTAAAACCTGCTCAGACACCAAAACAAACAAACGAACAAAATTTTTTTGTCCAAGTTTCCACTAGAAAAATTTCGTAAGTTATTGTAACAAAATCCTAAACTACTTCTTTATTGAAAGAAATAAAAGGTCGGGAATGGTTTACCCTGAAAAGATCAAGACGATTTTTTTTGTGTTCCTTTATTGTCAAAAAGATGTCTTAGCTAAGGACTGGTGTACATTATGTTGGAAATTGTGGCCACGGAAGGGTATAACTTATATTGGCAAAGATATCAGGGAGTGGTGTACCCTACATTTAAGATCAAATCAACTAGGAAGAGGATACCCTATGTTGGAAAGGAGACTAGGGAGTGGAGACCCCATGTCTAATATAAAATCAACTAGGGAGTGGAGACCCTATGTTGAAAAATGAGACTACGAAGTATAGACCCTATATATAAAATAAAATCAACTAGGGAGTGGAGATCCTATGTTAGAAAATGAGATTAGGGAGTGGAGATCAACAACAACAACAACTACTACCCAATATAATCCCACCAAATGGGGTCTGGGGAGGGTAGGATGTACGCAGCCTTACCCCTACCCCAGGGTAGGGAGACTATTTCCGAATGACCCTCGGCTAAAGAAGGTGAAGAAAGCCCTGATAGCAAGTGATAGCAAGACAAATAGTTAGAAAACTAAATCGGAGATAACAACAAAGAATAGCAAGATAGTACCGATAATAAGTAATATCAAGATAGTATATTTAGACAGATAAGTCCAAGGCAGCACACGAGAATATGACGAAGTCCTGCTAGCAAACTATGGAATTACCGAAGGTAAGTAGTAACAGAACAAGACACGCGGCTATAGCAAACTAAGGTAAAAAGGGTACCATACTAGCACTAGTACTATCAAAATAGGGAATACAAAGGGAAACACCCAACTACCTACTAACCTTCCACCCTAATCTTCTACCTCCACACCCTTCTATCTAGGGTCGTGTCCTCGGTCAGCTCAAGTTACTCCATGTCCTGCCTGATCACTTCACCCCAAGACTTCTTAGGTCTACCTCTACCTCTCCTCCCACATCCCAAGGCCAACCTCTCACATCTCCTGACTGGGGCATCTGTGCTTCTCCTCTTAACATGTCCAAACTATTTCAACCTTTCCTCACACATCTTTTCCTCCATAGGGGCCACTCCCACCTTGTCCCGAATAACTTCATTCATAATTCTATCCAATCTAGTATGCTCGCACATCCATCTCAACATCCTCATTTCCGCTACTTTCATTTGCTGGACATGTGACTTTTTGACTGGCCAACACTCTGCCCCATACAACATAGTCGGTCTGACCACTACCTTGTAGAACTTACCCTTAAGTTTCAACGGCACATTCTTATCACACAAGACATCAGAAGCGAGCCTCAACTGCGTCCATCCTGCTCCGATACAGTGAGTAACATCCTCATCTATCTCCCCATTCATCTGAACTATAGATCCCAGATATTTGAAACTCTCTCTCTTGGGAATGACTTGCGTATCGAGTCTCACATCCCCGCCCGCCTCCTGGGTAACACCACTAAACTTGCACTCCAAGTATTCTGTCTTGGTCCTGCTCAACTTGAATCCCTTAGACTCGAGAGTATGTCTCCAGACCTCCAGCCTTTCATTAACGCCACCTTGTGTCTCATCAATCAGGACTATGTCATCCGCAAATAACAAGCACCAAGGCACCTTCTCTTGGATTTGACGCAACAAAGAATCCATCATCAGGGAAAACAAAAACGGGTTGAGTGATGATCCCTGATGCAACCCCATCTCAACCGAAAAGTAGTAAGATTTCTCCTCCTGCTGTCATTACCCGTGTCTTAGCCCCATCATACATGTCCTGGATCACTCTAATATATGCTACAGACACACCTCCCGCCTCCAAACATCTCCATAGAACTTCTCTCGGTACTTTGTCATAGGCTTTCTCCAGTTCAATGAACACCATATGCAAATCCTTTTTTACCACCTAATACCGCTCTATCAATCTTCTTACAATGTGTATGGCCTCAGTAGTCGACCGTCCCGACATGAAACCGAACTAGTTCTCAAAAATTGACACACACCTCCTCAATATTCCTTCAATAACCCTCTCCCACACTTTCATCTCATGGCTTAACAACTTTTGGACTCCCACACACCTCCTCTATAGTTGTTGCAGTTTTGGACATCCCCGTTGTTCCTGTACAACTGGATCATCGTACTTTGCCTCCACTCTTCGGGCATTTTCTTCGTCCTAAAAATAACGTTAAACAACTAGCAAGCCATTCCAAGCCCTTCTTGCCCACACTCTTCCAGAATTCCACCGGGATCTCGTTTGGCCCAATCGCTCTATCCCTGCTCATCCTGCACATAGCCTCTTCCACCTCCCCCACTCGTATGCGCCTATAGTATCCAAAATCTCATTGTCGCTCCGAGTACTCCAACTCCCCAAATGTGATGCCCCTATCGCCATCCTCATTCAAGAGTTTATGGAAGTACGCCTGCCATCTCCACCTGATTTGTGCCCCCTCCAATAAAACTCTTCCCTCCTCGTCTTTTATGCATCTCACTTGGTCCAGATCCTGGGCCTTCCGCTCCCTCACCTTAGCTAGCTATACAATTTCTTGTCCCGCCTTTAACCCTAATTTCTTCGTATAAATGACTAAACGTCGTGGCCTTAGCTGCCGTAACCGCCAACTTCGCCTCTCTCCTAGCCTTCTTGTACCCCTCCCTGTTGGCACTCTTCTACCCCTCGTCTATACTCTCTACTAGCTTCAAATATGTTTCTTTCTTTACTTCCACTTTTCCTTGCAACTCTTTGTTCCACCACCAGTCCCCTTTATAGCTACCAGAAAAACCCTTTGAGACCACTAACACCTCTCTCGCTGCCTCTATAATACAATTTGATGTCATTGACCACATACAACTCGCGTCCCCGCTAATCCTCTAGGCCCCTAAAGCCAGCAACTTCTCCCCCAACTCTTGGGCCTTGTCCTTAGTCAATGCACCTCACCTGACCCTAGGAATACCAGACATAGCCCTCCTCTTCCTCATCCACCTGATCTTTAAGTCCATTATCAAAAGCATATGATGGGTCGTAAGGTTCTCACTCGGGATGACCTTGCAATCCGTGCATAGACCTCTTTCACATTTTCGAAGAAGTAGAAAGTCAATCTGGGTCTTGGCCACTGTACTCCGAAAAGTTATCAAGTGCTCCGCCTTCTTCGGGAAAGACGAGCTAGACCCTATGTCTAAAATAAAATCAACCAGGGAGTGGAGGCTCTATGTAGGAAAATGCAGCTAGGGAAAGATGTATCCTATGCTAACATGCGACTGATTTTTTGATTTTTTTGATTTTTTTTATTTAAGCAAAAACATTTTTTTAAAATAAATAAATTGCCCCAATGCTTATTTTCTGAGGGCATGGACAAACAATTTTTTTTTTCAAACCAGTCTTCTTCTTCTTCTTTTTTAATTATCTTAGGAGAAAATTCATCAAGCTAGGTTTTCTTATCTTAGGAGAAAGATTCATCAGACTAAGACGTTTATCCTATGAGAATGATTCATCAGACTAGGCTTTTTTTGTTATCTTAGGAGAAATATTCATCAGACTAAGACTTCTATCCTAGGAGAAAATTCATCAGACTAGGTTTCTTATCTTAGGAGAAAGATTCATCAGACTAAGACTTCTATCCTAGGAGAAAATTCATCAGACTAGGTTTCTTATCTTAGGAGAAAGATTCATCAGACTAAAATTTCTAATCCTAGAAGAAAATTCATCAGACTAGGTTTCTTATTTAGGAGAAAGATTCATCAGACTAAGATTTCTAATCCTATGAGAAAAATCATCAGACAGGTTTCTTATCTTAGGAGAAAGATTCATCAGACTAAGATTTCTTATCCTAGGAGAAAAGGTCTCAGACTGGGTTTTCTTATCTTAGGAGAAAAATTCATTATAATAAGACGTCTATCCTAGGAAAAAGTTCATCAGACTAGGTTTTTTTGTTTATTATCTTAGGAGAAAGATTCATCAGACTAAGATTTCTAATCCTAGAAGAAAATTCAGCAGACTAGGTTTTCTTATCTTAGGAGAAAGATTCACTAGACTAAGACGTCTATCCTAGGAGAAATTTCATCAGAATAGTTTTTTTTGTTTATTATCTTTTTTTTTGTTATCTTAGGAGAAAGATTCATCAGACTAAGATTTATATCCTAGGAGAAAGATTCATCAGACTAAGATTTATATCCTAGGAGAAAGATTCATCAGACTAAGATTTATATCCTAGGAGAAAGATTCATCAGACTAAGATTTATATCCTAGGAGAAAGATTCATCAGACTAAGATTTATATCCTAGGAGAAAGATTCATCAGACTAAGATTTATATCCTAGGAGAAAGATTCATCAGACTAAGATTTATATCCTAGGAGAAAGATTCATCAGACTAAGATTTATATCCTAGGAGAAAGATTCATCAGACTAGGTTTTCTTATCTTAGGATAAAGATTTATCATACTAAGATTTTTATCCTAGGAGAAAAATTCATCAGACTAGGTTTTTTTTGGTTATCTTAGGAGAAAGATTCATCAGACTAAGATTTATAACCCTAGGAGAAAATTCATCATACTAGGTTTCTTATCTTAGGAGAAAGATTTATCAGACTAGACATTTATCTTAGGAGAAAATTCATTAGACAGACATTTATCTTAGGAAAAAATTCATTAGACTAGGTTTTCTTATCTTAGGAGAAAGATTCATCAGACTAAGATTTTTATTGGGAGGAAAATCCATCAGACTAGGATGTATTACCCTAGGAGGAAAATGTGAGGAGAAATGACAAGATTTTATGCACACTAGCAAGACAAATAAAGGTAAAGATTTGAGAAACTTCCTTTTGTCGGCTCTTCTCTTCTTTTTTCTCTTTTTTTTGAACCACTTTACTTGCGGTGCTTTGTTCCTGTTTCAAACAAAGAAAACTTTGTCAGTTTTAAAAGTGGTGGTCGGTTTATGGCCATGAGTTTTGGGCAGTTTGGCTTTGTGTTCATCCAGCCTTTAGTTTCAAGAGACTTTTGCTCTACATCAATCCTGATTGTTTCACACTCAGTACCATTTGTATTTTATCTCAATCAGCCTTATCCCAACTGGAGATCTTTGCTTAGGTGACCTTTTCTGATATCTTGATTAACTTTCTGCTTTTTGTGCAATTTGTCTGTCAAAGAGAAATCACAAGTTATCTTTGCTTGTGCCAAGTATATTGACAAGAGTCTCTTGGCCTTTGCATGAATCCTCAAGGTATGTTGACAGTAACAACTAAGTGTACAGGCTAAATTTACTTTGTGCAACTGAAAAGCTGGTAGCAGATTTAGAAATCTTTTCTTGCTTGTTTTGACAAGGACGGACTCAGCGTGAAGGACACAATGATGGCAAAAAATAATATTAACAAGAAACGCCCCTATTCAATAATGATAGAAGGGTGGTTTTGTTTTTCTTTTTTTTATTCAATAACTAGCCTTAATAATCATGACATGTATTTTAGACTTAGCTACATGATCTTTCAAATCAATCTAACCTTTACTCTTGCCATTCCTTCGAGTTTTCAAACCGAGCATCTTTGGGCCAAATATTTGCACCAGATTCACGACTCACCTTCGACTTGTAGTGCCCCGAGGGATTTTCACCAATAAGTCTCTCCCATTTATTTATCTCTACTTACCGTCGTCTTACAGTGCCCGTGAGGGTTTTCACTAGTAAGACTCTCTAATTTCTTTTTTTTTCTTGCTTTCTTGTGTGACCAACTTGACAGTGTTCTATGTCGTATGACAACTGCTGCTCATTACATGCGTCTCTTGTCATATCTTGGTATTCTTGAAGGCATATCGGGAAGTCCTTATTTGGAAGATTTTTGGATTGGGTTGGAAAGAAAGGTCGGCATGAAGGCTCAAAGTAGACCCAAAAAGAGGGGTTGTAGACTTACAACTCTTTGAATCGTCTCTTTCAAAAGCTAAAAAAAATTCATGCCTCAGTTTTAGATACTGATTTTTTTTTTAATTTTCTTTTTATGAATTTTTACTTGGTTTGATCAAACCGTGTAAGGCTGCCTACGTATCCTTTTTTTAACGAATCATGTCAAACGTATTTCAAACATCTTACCTAACTATATTTTTCATCTTTCTTTCTGTATCTTTTTTCCTTTTTTTTCTTTTCTTCTTTTTTTTTCAAAAAAAGTTGCCCCATCTTCTATTTTTTGGGGCATGGACCTTTGACTGTTCTTTTTTTTTTCATTTGAACTTTCTAAGAGTTACCCCACTTTGTACTCTTGGGGTATGGATTTTTCTTTTCATTTTTTTATATTTTTTTTGGACTGTTTGTCGCGCCCTCTTTTTCTCGCGAAAATCGGGTTTGTGACATTTGGGAGGACAACTCGTTCCCTTTCGGGAATTAGGTTTGAATTAAAGAATCGCCACCTAATGAATAAAGTTCATTAGGACACTAAGAAGGGATTGTTTTGAGTAACCAGAGATTGGGTAAGGGCTTGAAATTATCGTAAGGGGAAGGTGTTAGACACCCCTCAGGATCCACTAGTGTGGTTCCCGGCCAAACTATTGTTGTGACTTAAGTGCAAATAACACGTAGGCAAATAAAGGCTTCAAATAAGAGGGGATTTTCACGTAATGGTTACAAATAAACAAAAAGTAAGAAAAAGGAACTAAAAGAGTTGATTTTCTTAAAAGAAATGGTTTAAAAAAAAGATTTAAAAGAAACAAAGAAAACAAAGGAAAGGGGAGGGGG